ATCCACACCTCTACCTAATCATGAAAAATCAGAGAAAATAGGCCTAGGCTACCCAATTCATATCAAGAAAAAGATAGCAGAAAAGAGACGACTCAGAAGAATTTGGCAAAACTCAAGAAACCCAAATGATAAGGCCAACTTTAACCGAGCAGCACGGATTTTGAAAAGATTATTGTACGACACAAAAAACCGATGGTTTGAAGAATATACTCAATCTTTGTCGGCTACGGAGGCTACGGATTACTCGTTATGGAAAGTAACAAAAAGGCTGAAGCAACCCCAAATTTCAATCCCGCCAATTCGTAAACCGGATGGAAGCTGGGCTAAGAGTGACATAGAAAAATCTGAAGCTTTCGGGGATTACTTTTCCAATGTATTCAAGCCAAATGTAGGTGTGGTCAATAATGAAGAAGAAATAATAGAATTCTTGGACTCTCCACTTCAACTTGACTTTCCTCTGGAAAAATTCAGACCTACAGAAATTAAGGCAACCATTGACAAATCGCTAATCCGAAAAAATCTCCTGGTTACGATTCTATCACTGGGAAAATGTTAAAAGAACTGCCAAGGAAAGGAATGATTTTTATTGCATTTCTCTTTAATTCTATATTGAGACTAGACCACATACCAACTCAATTTAAGAAAGCCCAATTAATTGTTATGCCAAAACCAGGAAAACCTCCTCATGAAATCACTTCCTACAGACCTATAAGTCTCTTGCCTATAGTGTCCAAGTTGTTTGAGAAATTGTTCCTCAAAAGACTACAAGCTCTTTTTGAAGAAGACGACGTCATTCCAGGACACCAATTCGGGTTTAGACGGAGTCATGGCACCGTGGAGCAGGTCCATAGGGTTGTTCATACAGTTCGAAACTGTTTGGAAAACAAACAATTTTGTTCTGCTGCTTTCCTTGATGTCAGTCAGGCATTTGACAAAGTATGGCACTCTGGCTTACTATTCAAAATTAAGAAGTTACTACCCCATTCAGTTTTTCCTATTTTAAAATCATATCTTACCAACAGAACTTTCCAAATTAAACATCAAAATTACTTAACTGACCTTTACCCTATAGAATCAGGAATCCCCCAAGGAAGCGTGCTTGGACCATACTTGTATATTCTCTATACATCGTACCTACCAGAAAGTGTAAACACTATGGTTGCTACATTTGCGGATGACACGGCGATTTTATCTGTCCACGACAATCCAGCTCAAGCTACAGCAAATTTACAGCTAAACTTGGATGAAATTTCTCATTGGTTTAAAACATGGAGGTTCAAAATTAATGAAAATAAATCAGCACACATTACTTTTACCTTAAATCAGGCTACATGTCCTCCAGTATCCATGAACAATATTCACCTCCCTCAAGTAACGGAAATAAAATACTTGGGCATGCACTTAGATGCAAAGCTTAATTGGAAGGCACATATCAAAATCAAAAATATATTACAAAGTCGCCAGATAGAAAGTCGATTAATGACAATAGTTATATTATTGAATTCAATTAGTTAAAATAGGATTTTAGGATAGTTTAGGATTCGAGTATGAAATTATTATTCAAGATTAGCAAGATGTGAGATATAAGAGGGAGGGCACGGGATGGCTCAACTACTGTGATAGATACAGATGACAAACCCATTAAAACGTTGTAAACAGCCATTAACGTCACGATTTGCATTTTTATAAATGAAATTCAATATTGCACAATCATTATTATTGTGCAATAACATTATTATTGTACATTTCAAATAATTTATCTTGGTTTAGTTGTACAAACGGCAACGTTTAAAATTATAGCTAACCCAAACTCAATTAATAACCATGCCAAACACTGGATTGCTATAAATAACGTTAATATTAAAGGAACCTTTAAAAGTATTACAGTATAAGTTACTGCTCATGATAGACAGATAGGCTACCGGTAGGTGCTGTACAGGAATTGATAGATAAGTAAAAAAAAAGTGTAAAATTATATTTAGAGATAATAAAAACACTCTTAAAAAAGAATGTAACGAGAACAATCTTTATTGGGTTTATCTTCAATTCATACACAAATTCAACAAGTCGCCATATTTAGGCCGACTCATTGGCCAATCACAGCCTTACTAAAGTTACCATGGTTACTTATCACTCAATCACAGTTTACTAAGCATTTATATCGTCATCATTCCCCAGCTGTTTTATCTGAAATTTGTTGTAACATAGCGCCTTTGTTTCCCCTTGTCTGTGATAGCGCACAGCAGACAGTGAAGTGTAAAACGGAGCAGACGATTGTTGGCGCAAGCGTCGTTTCATTTTCATCAAAGGAGCTGTGATGTTTCCAAAGGGAGGGAGAGGGGATCGTTATATCAAGAGAAAGACGCTGACAATTCCTTAAGCAGAGGTTACATACGCTATATAGATATTCTAGCATTAAAAATTCCTTAAATTGAGGTGACTTATAAAACTCTAATTTTATTTATATAGAAAGATAAGTTTTCCAGTCCTGTACAACACTGATTCACGGTCTTTTCCCGGTAACCAAAACTCAAGTAACTTGATACACACAGAATCTCCGGTTCCCGACCTGGATGATGGCTAGTTATTTAATTTAATTTACAGTTACATATTAGTACCCCGTGGTAAATCAAACCCGTTATGTAAGCCAAAGCCACACGGTTATTAATCTCACTTGGTTTTGGATTTGCTTACAAACGTGATCGGAAATGGTTACAAACGTGATTGGAAGTGGTTAGAGCCTAAACAGTATTCGTAAACAACATTTAAACGATGTTCCTAGTGCATTAACTTTTCATCTTGGTGAAGCAACTGAGAACAGGAGGCTACGTCGAAGGCTCCCTCAAGATCTATTCGAGGAATGATGCCTAAAGAAGATTAAATTATTCTCTAAATTAATTATGTTACAGGGTGACTCAGGTTTGGGCGAACCCACGATGTTAATTATAGTTCATTTCTTATTAATTTTGTTAACACTCTGTGTATAATGTCTACATTGAACCAGAAATAAATGATGCTGTAAAAAAAAAAAAAAAATGTAAACATACCAGTGACAGCTAGAAAAAGGAATCTTTATAAAAACAGCTGTTCGTAATTTCATATAATGACGTGTTCTCTTAACAGATTATTAGTATTTCATAAATGAAGTATGTAGTAAACATGGAGAAAAAACTAGAAAAATCACACAAAATTGGGTTTTTGATCGTCCGTTATTTTATTTCCAAAATAGTGAGGCCATATTTTAATGGCTATAAGGACACTCTCGCCAATCTTGTGAATACAATTAAACCATTAGAATCATAATCGGTACTCTAGTTTTCTTTAGAGTAGGCTGCGTAAAATGCCTTCTGGGCCGTGACAGACAGACGTAAATTGAGATGAGACATGTTTCAACTTCTTCAATGTATAAAACGTAAAAATAACCCAAAATATGTATAGTTCTGAGCAATGTACAGACAAAACTATAACTTTATTTATATAGATTAACTGGGTTTGAATTTTAAATATCTAAGAAAAATGTATAAAACTTCTTTTAGTTTTACAAATCGTACTGGGCGGGGGAATAATGTTTCTCATTTGTTGTGTACTTCATTTATGGTGGTGGGGGGCTGTTGCTCAATTGGGGGGGGGGGGGGTGCGTCATGAGTCTAGGGGGGGATGGGCACCCCTGTACTAAGATGGATGGAGGGATTGTAATGAGCCAGTATATACTATCGGAAGAAAGGAGTTTCTTTGAAGCATTGAAAGCAAGTTTATGTTTTTCCTCCCACCGCCATTTAACATTTTTGTCCAATAAGCGATGTAAAGGTTCTGCAACATTGGCTTTGTTGGGTAAAAAACAGTGATAGAAATTAAGTAAACCTAAAAATGCCTGCAGTTGTTCCTTGTTAGTCGGCTCAGGAGCATCTTGAATGGATTTGACTTTGTCCGGGTTAGGACAAATTCCGTCAGAGCTCACAACAAATCCCAAGAAGTCAACTGATGTAGATAACAAAGAACACTTTTCGCTTTGGAGTGTGATTCCTGCATCTCTAAAACGAGTGAATACTTGTCTTAATGTCGTAATCAATTCATGTATTGTTCCTGCTTTAACCAAAATATCATCAAAGTAAGGGATTACATTGTCCAAGCCCGAAAGCAAACCCTCAATAAAATGTTGAAATATAGATGGAGCTGAGCTAATACCGAATTGTAGTCTTTTTGGTTTAAAAGCACCCTTGTGTGTAATTAGTGTCTGAGCTAGTGCCGACTTCTCGTCAACAACCAGTTGTTGATAAGCTTGGGCTAAATCTAACTTAGCAAAATATTTCCCTTGGTTTAAGTTTGCTAAGAGCTGAGAGATTGGTGGAATAGGGTACAGATAGATATTTTACCATTGCTTTTTACGGAAACAACAATTGGTGTGGCCCAATCCGATACCTGAACAGGTTCTAACACTCCCTGATTAACTAACTTATTCAGCTCTTCGTCTACTTGGACCTGCAATGCATAAGGTAAAGGGCGCGCTCTTAAGTGAATTGGGTTATAATTCTGGTCAATTTTCAGTTTGATTGGAGGTCCTTTATAGCACCCTAAAGAATTTGAAAATACATCGGAAAATTCACTTTTCAGATGTTGAACATCCAGCTGAGCTTTACTAAGAACTTCAGATTCATTTTTCTTATTCTTATTACCTTTCATTCAAATTGTATGATAGTGTTATAAAATGGTAGATTAGTAATACTGTTAAGGTATTGTAAATAATTAAATTTGCAGGATTGCTTATTTAATTAAAGGCGTTTTTGGTTATATATTAGTGCTAAAGAGTAAACCAGCAAAATAATTTTAAAAAGAAATAAATAGCGATGGATCAAAATTTGTTTCTTATACTACTAGGTATGCTAAATGAAAAGTAAAATTTTTAATTTACGACATTCTTTGGACAACTCTAATTTTCCTCATAGTTTTTGCTAATGAAACTACAAAACAAAAGGTAAAACAAAACTACACATTTTAAATTATTATATTTCATAATGAAAAAACATGTAATTTCCATTTACAATTGGAACTACACTACTGTACATACCGTCGCTACATTAAAAATATTAAAATTTGTTAAAAGTTATAAGTGTACAAAGTTTCATTTCTTACAAATGCACATAATAGGTTAAATACATACATACGGACATAAAGCACACGGGTTTATATACACCATCGAAACGAGACTTTATACAATCGCAGTTTATAATTTTATGTACATAATACTCTGTGTGAAGAATTAGGCACATCCCATACAGCTAGGCCCTTAAGCCCAATCTTAACGGCTTACATTATGTCTTCCACATCAGAGAACATAAATCACATATAGAGTTTACCACATCTGACGGAAGCTATACTGTATGCCGATAGCGAGGGATCTCCACACATGAAAGACAAAAGTGTAAAACTTCCTCACAATTCTGAGATCATCTTTGCTATCTTCAAAATCAGTTATAAATATTAAATAAATACTACTGATAGGGATGATCACAAATCACTATACAACTCCATATACAATATACACATCGTCACTATGTACAGTTTAAAGCTACATAATGAATTACAGATTCATCCTAACCTAACAGGTACCTCGTCAATGAGGTAAATGCGATGATGCTTTGGTCAAACCAAAACATAAAAATCAGCAGCCAAGCAGTCACAATAAGAAAACATTTGATAAAATTCACCTTTTGACTAGTATTTGAAATATATCTAAGAAACATTATTAAGGTGGAACATTTACCTATGCCTATGAGTAGCCTAATGGCACTGACATTGTACAACAATAAACATTACTTTTAACTGAACTTTTTACAAAAATAATTTTGTTAGATGTTCTTTTATTTTTAAAATCAAAGAATAATAACATAAAAGAAATCTTTAAACAAATACTCAATGCCATTGTAAAAAATAAACTTATTCATACACATCTTGGCTGCATGATTTTAATTGGCTATTTCATATTATTGCACTAAAACCTAAAACTTAATCTCAAAGAATAAAGCTTATGAAATTGCTGACTCCAAAATTTTAATCTCACAGGTTTCCACAGGGCAAAATGTTGAAAAATATCTAGTCTTGGAACTAGAGAATGGTGCACCAATCAAAATGTTATGAATCAGATCTTATTATTTTAGCAACGTGCTAAACAACAATAAAACTCCTTACAAAAATAGTGTCATTTGGGGCTTTCTCACATTTATAAAAGTACCAATTTAATTCACACGTTCAAAACAGTTAAATTGCTAAACCAAAATAGACATTAACAAATTTATCTTCAACTAATGTACAAAACCAAAAGTGAAAGAAATGGTCCCTCCTCTTTTCCATAAAAATAAACAATATTTTTAGTTTAACAATCATTTTGCCTTAGGCTAAATGGTTAATTATATTAACCATTCAATAAAAAACTGATTCAAAACAAAATTTGCTCATTTATTAAAAAAATAAAAACCACACAAAAACTCAAAATAAAAAACAGGTATTAAAAAGACACTGTTTTACATATCAAACTATTTCATTAGGTCAGTAGGCCTAAATACTAGGAATAAATCTAAATGCAATAACCTGAATATACTTTAGTCCAAAATTTCATCTTATTATAAATCCAGGAAAATCACTTTACATTCAAAAGTCAATTACATGGATAAAATCATCAAATAATTAAAAAATGTCCAAAAATGGTAAAAAGTTATATAAGAATACTGTTACAAAATATAGTCATAAAAGTGATAATAGATGTTAGTTAGGATGAAAATTAAATAATTGCTAACTCAAGATAAAATGTGAATTTTTTAAATTTAGTTCAGGATATCCAGATGTAAGGAACACAAATCAACACAACACTATCACATGGCACTGATCCCTAAGGAACTATTGAAACAAAATCAAGTCATTTTCCTAAGATAATTTACTCGTAGCACATTACATACTGGATTCAATTTTGCACTTGTAAATTTGTTGAGAGAAAAGAACCACGGAGCAATGCTAAAGTCAGAGAGGAACAACAATAAAACTTAACCAATTAATTAGTTTTGGATTACTTGTTCAGATTACATTTTTAACAGCCAACCAGGAGTATTGTGCAAAAAGTCACCAAAAACAATACTAAATCGATTCAGGTGCTAGATTTAAATAAAACATTTTTTTTAAATAGTATTGAAATCATATGTTATCGTGCCTCCCAAAAATTGAATTTGACTTGTATGGTACTATTTCACCACCAATAAGAAAAAATTTATAGTCTTCAAATCTCAGAATGATTGTATTTACTTTACCAATGATTACTTCTGATAAAAAATGACCAACCCTCTTTCCCCAGTACAGCCTATCACAAACAAAAACTTGACTAGCCTAAACTCTACGATATCAAGCATAAAAACTACAATTGTAAAACTGTTTACTTCACTAGCCTTGTTAAGTAGGATTGATCCCACAGTATTAAGCGTGTGGCTACTAGCGAGTGAGCTATCGCGACTGTGAGGATTCTTCCTTCTTGTGGTCCGGGTGTGAGTGTGGGATGGGGTGTGGAGCTAAGCTGTGATGAGGTGGAGGAGGCCGATGTGGCGATGGAGCCTTAGTACGCAAGTGAGGCGGAGGAGGAAACCCTGCAAACAACTTTGCTCTCTGTTCTTCTTCTTCCCGTATTGCAGCGGCCATGAGTGGATTGTATCGTAGATGGTCGTAACCTCTGTATAAATGATTATTGTATTAGTTGATTCTCGTAAGGAACACATTCGGAAACTTAAAACTAAAAGCAGGGATACATGTATAATGTGTAATATTTTAGGGGTGTGCGATGCATTGAAAATGAATAAAAATTCCGATTTGATTCTATGCATTGAATCACGATTCGATTCAGTGTTGATCAAAAAACAATTTGATTCATGAGGGAGTCAGTATCCATAAACGAAAAACGCCTGCAGAGAGTCAACGCAATACCCGCAATACAGGAGCGTGTTGATGTTGCGTTTCCTTTGCGAAGGCGTTCTTATTTATGTGTGTGCATGACGATGGTGGAATTGAAGAACCACCGAAACATGTAGCGAGTTACTTTTGACACTACATGAAAACATGTCAAGGATTGTCTGACAAGGTACGTTTTTTACCATAATTAGTCATAAAACGCAATCCTGGGGCTATAAAAATGAATTATAGTTCTTCTAATTTAATTAATTCTTTGCTTGTAAATATTGCTTTAATTGTTTTATAATTTTCATTTTGACATTGCAAATGATGAGAAGTTTTGTTAGGTGTAAGCAGTCGTGTGACATGTTTTGCTAATGTAATAGCCAAAGCAAGTCACTCTAAAATCATTCTAAAAATAACACAGGTCTGAAAAATTGTTAATTGATACATAACTAGTAATTGATGTTTTAGACTGATAAATTTGGTATTTTTTTGTCTGCTATGTATTCCTTGCAGTTTGTAGGTCTGATTCTATCCTCTCATTTTATCAATTTAAAACAATTGAAAGTTTCAGTATAAATCTTGCAAATGTTTTTATTTGTTTACACCAAAACATATCTTTATTTATAAAATCAATAACTTATTATAAAATAGGTAACATGCTTAACAATATGATTCTGCAAGTAAAAATTATGAAATAGGCAAGTAAAGCAGCTCACTGACATTTCCAGCAATACAGGTTCTTGTAATACAGTATATGATTGAAAATAAATATTTTTTCACTTAAAATTCATATATGTCTCATGTATGAATGTGGTAAATTTTAATTAGCCTATTGTTACTTCACTCCATTGACAAGTATGAATGGAAAAATAAAATGCTGTATTGCTTCGAATCAAGTTTGGAATTGAATCAATGCTTCGAATCGAAAATCTTTTGCTGCTTCGCACACCCCTAAAATGTAAGTAAAAATGAATTTAAATTAAATTCTGATTGAAACATTAATTATCTTTCATTAAAACCAAAAGTAACTAAATCGTTAACTTCAGTTTAAAAGGAAAGTAATGCTTAGGCCTACTCTTTTTTAATATAGTCTTAACAATTTAGATAAATAGCATCAAGAAATACTCGAAAATATTAAAGCTCAACCATTGTCTTTTAATTCCTTCCTACTAGTTTGGAATGTTGAATGGGATTTTCAAAAGTACAGAAGACTGCCCTTAACCGACCCTAATGGGAACGGACCTAGGTCGGATAGCTCAAAAGGTCGGTTAAATGGGTAATCCCTAAAAAGAGTCAATAAAAACTCTTATTTTAATAATTAAGATTTTAGTACTGTAATATTAATTGATGTTTCAAAATCCATCGTATTACAGTTCAGACCTCTTTGTCAAAATTAAAATACAAGCAACCATTTTGTTACAAGACACAGGATGTTTATTTATAGCCTCACACTGGAGGCTCGAGTCACAAAATCTATCTTGACCATGGAGTAGTTAACCCCCCTCCCCTGCCCACCCTACAAGTTGCATTGTATGTTTACTCTAGCGATAAGATAATTCTAGTTTATATTACAAAATTAGGAACTGAATTCAGAAACATACATTTTTTGGGAAAGATACAAAATAACTTATTCTTAGTCACATCCTGTAGAGATAAGTGTATGATTCCCATCGCCGAGTGTTTGAGCGGAAATATCGAAATTCCTAGAAAGCGGCGGTCAAACCAAACTGCTCTCAAAGCAAGGTCGGTTAAAACAAACTAATATTTTACAATCGAGGGCGGATAATCTGAGTATCGGTTATCGTGAGGTCGGTTAAGAGAGGTCTACTGTATTAGGATTATAAAACTAGTTTTACTTATAATGATTCAGTGTTGATTCACATAGTCACTATAGACATACCTGAAGGGATGATGGTCCCAGGGTGAGGGGGCGAAGTGTGAAGGGTGTGGCATGGTGCGGGGGGGTGGACGGGGCAAGTAGTGAGGCGGGGGTCGCCCCAGCAGCAACACCTCTTCCTCCTTGGGAACTACAGACGCTGGGTCTCGGATAGGTGACCTGTCTCGTACCTGCCACAAAAAAGAAAATTTACAGATAAGTTGTCTGGAGGTTTATTGCAAATGCTTTCTTATGTGTCAAAAATAGCAGTTTTTTAACTGACCGAGACAACCATTTTGCCTTATTCATATGCCACATTTCCTCACCTTATTATGTTGGTGGTGTTGTTGTTGCTGCTGCTGCTGCTGCTGTTGTTGTGCGGCCAGCAACCTCCTCTGCTTTTCTTCTCTCCTTTGCCTCTCCCTCTCTCTACTCCTCTCCCTCTCCTTTTCTCTCTCTCTTTCCCTCTCCCTCTCCCTCTCCCGTTCAGCTTCAGTCATCCCGGGCTCTGGTTTCAGACTCCAAGGTCCTACACTGGCACCCAACGCTGTGGGAGCTAGCGACGACGTTCTAGGCTGCAACCTAAAAACAGACATTTTGTCAGATGAGAGATGCCAATTTGTTGATATATTTTATTTGATATCAAGAATTTTTATACAAGCCCAGATGGAATGTTGCAAAAGCACGTGTAAATGAAAGATGAACTAAAACATGCGCTCCTAAAAGATTAACTAAGCTCTTTAGACCCGAAATAAGGTTTATCACAATTTTGGATTTTATAAAGCATGGATTACAAGAAAAAGACACATAATTTTAAAGTTTCAGTAAACTTTTTAAATGACTTTTCCACCTAGAGTGGAAATGATGAATGGAAATGATCATTTGATTTTAAGTTAGGCCTTGCTTAATTGTATTACTTTGACACAGAGTATTAAACATTATTTTTTGGCTGTTAGTAACTTAAGAATGAAATAAAAGCATAGTCTAAAATATAATATGATTTTGTTTTAAGACTAAAATATAACTTAGCATAAACTTGGATGACTATGCTTGATGAATTTTGTGGTAAGATAAACTAACCTGGACCAAGGATCGTAGAGAGGTGTTGGAGGAAATGTAGCCATTGATGGTACTGTTGGATTGGGAGGATACCTGCCAAACATGCTGGACCCTGCAATACAACACATTCATTATCAACACTTCTATTGGCACCAGGACCGGTTTAAGTAGTAAGCAAATTACACGGTCGCGAAGTAAAACCAAGTAAAAGGGCTTAAGCGCTTTCCAATGTTCAGTATTAAGGAAAGAGACTAGAGGCATTGAATTTATATAAATTTTATTTATTCAGTTCTTAAGGTTAAACATTTATTTACATCGCCAAATAAGACTGAAGGAGTAAGGATATATTTTAAATCGTATAGCGTAAGGTTGAGGCTGTAGCTAACCATCACTATTTAATTGATTTTTATTTTAAAACATGTTAGCAATTATTGTTAACTTATTATTTACTTTTTTTGTTTACCTTTTCTTTCTTTTGATGTTGTACTTTTTGTCCATGCAATACATCTTCTAAAATGTTAATTATATTATTTTATTAGTCATTGTAAAACACCTCTAACCACAAGGTGCAAGACCTGTAAGCACACTCCCACTACTTGATTTTTTATTGTTCAAAAATAACAATATCCACAAATAATAACAACTGGTCCTTCGGCATACCTCCATCATCTACTTGGACTTGTCCGGGAGACGTTTGTACGTTTGGGATGTTCTTAAGCTTTTTTATTTACTCTAATTCTTTCTTGTATCCAGAGATAATCGTTACTAATATCAGTATCGTATTTAGGGTACTTGCAGTCCTAGAACCAGAGCAACCTTGCGATTGTGGCGAAATCATGAACATCTCCCGCAATCATGGGAAATCTTGATCGTTGCCCACAATCATGGTAAAAAATAAATTTAGAAAATTAAAGATCAATTTTTGTTTTCGAAAAGAAAAGAAAAAGAAGAACAAATGTTTTGGAACAAATCGCTGCGGCCCCAGTGAATTTACCATCTCTAGTGCCCGGGAGCACCTGGATGTTGTTCGCTTACAATACAAAAATGTCTAGAACCGGACCTGATTGGCACTCAACCACCTCAAACAATTCAAAGTATTGTTCTCTGGTAGGATTATGTTTTTTAACTGTTGATTTTGAGTGTTATTGTACAGGATAGTGCATGAGGTTCACTGACAATGTGTTTTTATCCTCTGTAATGTAATCCACTGAAAACAGGGTCCCACCCCACTCTAATTTGAAAATGAAATTCAAAGGTTTATTCACAGCTTTTCACAGTCATATTTGAGTATAATGTGATGTTGTTGAGGATCTACATTGTTAGATCAGGTACAAGCGAAATTGTGGCGGCATCAGAGCGTGTTGTAGCAGACCTCATAGCAGATTAGGGACATCACAAGAATGTTTCTGATGTTTCCGATGTTGCCACATGTCAACAGACTCCAGCGAGTTAAGTTGCTAAAATCTAAAGAAGAGTACTCAAGTACCAAGTAATAAAATTGAGCAGATGCAAGCTTTTGATCTCGCAATCGCAGAAAGCGTCTACAAAGTTTGCATGATCTAAAATTCTCAATGTCGCCGCAATTGCGCAAGACGATAATGATGTCTCCACATCCATAGATGTTCAAGATTTTGCCACAGGAGACAAAAGGATTTTAAATTCACAATTAATTTTTAGGACTTTTCTACGTAACCATTAAGCTCATAATAACGCTTCAATATGCTAAACTATTTGTTTTTTAAGCGCTACAAAATGGTTTGGAAAGAGATTGTAAACTTTTGTGTTTTTAGGGTCCAAAATAGGAAAACCCAAATTTAACCCCGGCCATAAACCCCTGTTCCTATAGTCCGATCATGCTGGTTCGCCAGCTTGTTCGAATAAATGTAAGTTTACACGTTTATATCAAATAACATCAAAATCGGATTATTTGTCCTCGAGTCATCGTGCTAACGGACATATATATATACACAGTAGAGAGAGCAGCCCTCAATTTCTTCATTGTCAAACTGATAGATAACTGGCTATGATTATTTGTGACTCACCAATCCCAGCAAACGGAGAGGCAGCAGGATGTGCTGAGCTTTCAAACGGGTGTGGAGGTCGATGCGGGGCAGCAAATGGGGGCAGTTCGTGGGGCCGCGGGGGGAACAGATGTGTGGGAGGCCTCAGTAGCTCTGACTTGGTGGGGACACCACCACCACCTACTACTCCTACCCCCGCCTTCACCTCTGCTGCCTGCTTCTGTTGGTGGTGATAAATCTCCCATGCAATACGCACGTGCATTGCGTTCCATTTACCCGTCTTCTGCAACAAAAGAAGACAATTTTGAGTTTTATGAACATCCAAAAAACATCCCAGCTTTAGTTGCTGTTAAAAATGTATTTCAATCAAAAAATTGTTGTAAAGGAAAAAGTTATACAGGTAGTTTGTAACTATTTAACACATAAAATTGATTATTTAATAATCCGACATATTCTATACTGCATTCCATAGCCTTGATTGTTGTTGATGAAACAAACAATGAATCTGTCATTTTTATATTGAGCATTTCTAACTAACAAACTACAATGGAATAAATTTTGCCAGCAATCAATAGAACATTTCATCACTAGAGCATAAAGTGCCACTTTTCAACCCAAGATCAAGTTTTACAATCGAGGCAAAGCCAAAGGTTGGAAAACAATTGAGGGTTGAAATTAAAGTTAGAAAAGACAAATTGTTCCATGTAAAGATAACCGCTAAAAACAATTTTTAACTTGTTTACCATTTAGCTGATGCAAATAAGCAGGTATTTTAGTAAGTGATTCAATAATTTCTACTATTACGATAGAGTTAGTAGTATTTATATCATCGATACGTTGAACTGTTAACAAGAATGCAACACTACAACTGATTAAAACAAGTGAAAAATACTTTTGATGTTTTGATACATACGATTGCTTATAAAATAAAAGTTTTAGTTTACAACAGCTGACTTTTACTCCTTAGGGAGTAAATGAGCTACTTTAGACCCGCAACCCAGGTATTAAAAACTCATTGCTGCAGTGTATGACAAAAAAATAATTTATGTTTGTGCGTGTTTGTTATAACAGGTGTGTAGACCTATATGAAATCATAATTTTTCATCTTTACGATTTAATTTATATAACCTAATGGCTTTTTTAGATAAAGATATTTATCTAATATTTTGTAAGAACAATTACAGGGTTGTCAGCAGAATCTAAAAAATAAATTCACACATTTTTCCCGGCTAAAAAGTACAAAATTCCCGTCATCTGATATAGGCTACTTATAAGAAAATCCCAATCAAAGTTGTAAAAACAAATTAAAATAACAGATATTGGTGAATAGTTTTAAAAAACCACATATGTTTATTAGCCCTTAGGCCCACTAACTCTATTCACTCGACAAACATTGCAAATTAAGTTTTAAATTTAAAATGAACATTAATGAGTTTAATATTTTGCAGAATAAACTGAGCTACTACTACTACTGAGCTAGGCCTACTGAAGCAGTTTCGAACTGCCAAACGTTACGATTTTCGCGTTATATTTGCCAATAATAGTTACTTATGTTATGATTAACTGTAAACCGGTAAAAACCAATAATTATTACAATTAAAATTATGGATTTTCCAAAATTAACATAAATGTGGTACTTTGAAACAAAATTCGGGGCCTAAGGTTTTTCTTAGGCCTACTGAAGCAATTTTTAACGTTACTTTTTTGCATTATATTTGCCAATAGTTACTTAACTGAAAACTGGTAAAAAACCAATAATTATTACAATTAAAATTATGCATTTTCCAAAATTAGCTAAACTAAAACATCGATTCAATCCAATCCACTGTCGAGTGTCGATTGGGAATCGTATTGTCATTACTTAAATCGTTGTGTCGTCTGTCTACAGCACAGTTCCACCATTGCTTGCTGCACGAACACACAACATGAACGCAGGTCGCAGACATTAAGGTCAAGGTTAAGTCGTTACCGGCAATGGCGGTAATAGTTGCGCATTGAACTAGAGCTACAATCGAAGGTAGCACTGAATGCGAGAATTGAGAGACGTTGGCCGCCATATGTACTATAGTCCTCGCCACCCTAACTTGAGGCAGCCCAAGGCCTCACTAGATATAACGGCGTGCGGCCTTGGGCTGCCTCAAGTAAGGGTGGCGAGGACTATAGGGGTAGGGGAAAATAGTACTTTGGAACTAGGAGATTGTGGGATTGTCAATAGCCAATGAGCTGATTGATTCCTCTAGTGGTACCAACATAACAACGTCTCTTTACAGCGTCTCGATTTTCTAGCAGATAAGCCATGCCAGTGCTACCTCCATTTGGATGTTGTTAGTCTACGACGCAAGAGCGGTTCCCTGATTCCCTTAACTTATCAGACTTGGATACGATAAATAACTGAGAGCACACGATAATTTTGAGCCGGCATGAACTATGTCAGTTCCAGTTGTCTGATTTAGAATTTTAACATGGATGATACGAACAACAAAAAATTGACCATGTCAACTTCCTTAAAAATATGAGTTTTTATATGGAATCAGTATCGAGAATGGTGAGCAATATTTCAGAACTGGTATAGAATTGAAAAATTCTGTTATCGGCCTACCCCTATTTATAAT